TATATATATATATATATATATATGTGTGTGTGTGTGTGTGTGTTATGGGCAATATATGACCAAAGTCTGGGCAATGTTGACAATGTCTGGGCAATGGTGGCATTTGTCTCTACTTTTGGCAATGCTGACACTGCCTGGACATTGACAACATTGGTCACAAATTTTGAAAAATTGATTCAATACTGTAAAGTAGAGTACTTCGGTCATTATGTAACCAAAGACGACATGGCCAAGTGGTCCTTTTGTGGTGGTGTTTATTATTCAAACATGCTCTTTTCTGACTTTCTTATGATTTGAATTTAAACATTGTAAGACTAACGTTCTTTGATGGCTAATTTCGTTAAATTATACACAAAATGACAATGTTGTCAATTCGCAAGTGCTTCGAGCACTGATGCCATTGACCAGTACTGGTGTGTTTAAAGTTCAGGAAAATATAACTTGTCATTTATATTCATATAAAACTTACAATCTTCTTGTATTTTACTTCCTTATCACTTGACATAGATTTAATTTGAAATTACAATTGCTAATAAGTACTAGCTAACTTCTCATAGAACGATCACAATACGGTGATATAGAAATTCCAAATATATATCCATTGTTTTAGTGGAATTGTTAATCCTTTCACATATATCAGATTGTCAGGGTTTTGCATATTTATATTGAACATGAGACCATTTGAACCTTTTCCAGCTAATGTCATCCAATCCATTTTTCAGCATAAAATGAAATGATACTTTATTTATGTGGTAGCTAAAGTTGTATACGATAAGGGTAATTAAGTACGGTCTGGTGGTTAGTATGTCAAAGCTGCGGAGAGTAAGATTCAAGCTACAGTATGCTGATGATCAAGCTCTGCATTTTCAGCTATGGCGGGGATATTTATCATGAGAGTCAATCTTATTATTTGGTTAAAAGTAACGGCATATGTGGCTGATGACTGGTTGCCCTTCGTCTGGTCAGAAGTTCTAGATTAGAGAGAGTTTTGTCTGAACCTTAGGGAAGTTAAAAATAACAATACCAAGCTTTTAGTAAGTAAAATTGAAATGAGTTTGAAATATTTTATTCTGTAAAGAAAGAAATGAGTTTGAAATATTTTATTCTGTAAAGAAAGAAATGAGTATATTAATATTTCTCATAAAACGCACAAATGCTCATTTTATCGTAACTTGAGTCATTTACATGTCAGTATTCATTAACTAAAGGAAATAATATTTTCAGATACATAATAGTCAATAAACTTCCACATAATAAGATAAAAAAATTAAAACCTCTAACGGATTATACACTTTAATATAGAGTTGTATAGGTCAGCTGCCTCTTATTTGACAGTTTGTTCTTGTAAACTTTAAACTTATCTCTTCAAAATATAGTACGATTGAAACTTAATTTTTTCCGTGAATTACTGTGGGTTCATAACGATAGGCAAAAAAAATAAAAAATAGTAACTTGACTGATTTCATTACACACTGTTTATTTTGTTGTAGATTTTATACAGCTATGCCAAGAAAGTAATTATTTGGTCAAAACATATTTCAAATTAAAACAGTTAAACCTGCTGTATAATTTGTAATAAATGTTTTCAGACTTCAATACGTCAGTTGTGGAGTTGCGTTTTTTGTTTTGTTTTTTAAGGTCTAGAGAAATCATAAGTAAATAAATCTGAATTTGTATATTAGGACATTCATTAATAATCAATATTTAGGCTGAATGCACATTCTCTATATTATTAGAAGTCAGCAAAAATATTATTTCTTAATTTATCTTCTTTAAGAAGATTTGTAAGTTCCATTTATTTTACAATGAACTAAGGATGTAACAATACTTTTAAACTAATCCAAACACATGTATAAATACATTTTATGAATATCAGACTGGCAAAAACATGTCCATGTATTGATGTCATTGTAACATAATGTAATAACGAAAATGGTCATGAATTTCCCTGTTTCATAACTAGTAATATAATTATCTTTGCTTTTAAAATACATTAATGTAACATTTTTCTAAATTTTCATATAGTTTCTGCATGTAATCATGACATTCTTTTTGACTAAATGTCTAAATGTCGTACATGTATGCTAATTGTTTTTAAGAGAGGTAAAGACTACGTTCTACAACCTTTGTCCTTGGGTCTCGAGCTAACGTCTATGAGAGTCTGTATGGATTTCTTGGAAGGCAGAATATTCAAACAGATAATACAATTGCATCTCTATTGGTGTTTAGATCTTTTACTAGATCTGTGAGAGTCAGGTTCGCCTGGACCTCTTCCCACCCTACATTTGTCAGTTTATAACTGTAAAATATTCTCTTAATTACAACATAAGGATCAAAGGTTGTGCTATTGCATGTACTCTGACCCCTTTCAAGGCCATGTCCATGAATAGTAATCAAGGAAATATTCAATATGAGAAGCACACATGTTCTTTGTTCGTTATTGCACAAAAGTCACACACATCGCGAATAGTTCCAGTTGTGTTTCATATATTTTTCTTCAGTTTAATTACTGCAAGAGCATTGCACATAAAATACACTTTATAATGCTCTCCTAGTTAAATAAACTAAGGATGGATATAGTCTTAGCTAAAGGTTTGTTTGTTTGCTTGAAGTTAAGTACAAAGCTATATAATGGGCTATCTGTGCTCTGCCCACCACGAATATCGAAACCCGGTTTTTAGCGTTGTAAGTCCGCAGACATACCGCTGTGACACTGGGGGGGGGGGCTAGCTAAGGGTGGCCTTAATTTATTTTTATTGACATACAATGCAGAAACAATGAATTTCACACAAAGCAACTCGAGGGCTATCTGTGCTAGCCTTACCTAATTTAAAAATAGTAGACTAGGAGGAAGACAGCTAGTCAAGACCATCCACTGCTAACTCTAAGGAAACTCTTTTTATCAACGAAAAGTTGGATCAATTGTCACATTATATTTCCACCACGGCTGAAAGGGTGAGTATGTTCGGTGACGAGATTTGAACCTCGCCACCCTTACATTGGGAGTCGAGTGTCTTAACTGCCAGGCCACAGAAACCTGTGCAATTGGTTTGGCTTAAGACTGCGTGCATAACGTTGTGTGATGCATGTCATTTATGGATTTGTGAAATATCCAATTTTTTGTTTTTGCCAAAGTATTTAAGTTGGGTATTTCTAGAGTTTTGTCTCTTGAATTTAGTTCAGGCCATGCAGTCAGTCAGACATGCTTTACGATGCACAGGCAGAAGGTGCAAATAACAACTTCTGTGATTGTTGATAGCCTAACAAGCATCTATTCTTTAAAACAAGTCGCCAACAACATTTGAAGATACAATCAAGAAGACTACAGCGAGGAGGAATCCTCGTACAATCCAAGACGTCTGAAGACCTCAAATATTTAAGTATACACTGGAACTCCAAATCCTCAGTATCTTGCAAGTAGAAGTAACAGCAATCTTTACACCATTTTTTCTGATGATATGGAATTGTCCATTACTACCCAATAAATCATATAAGCACTGAAAAACTATATTGTAACTGAAATACATGCATTCCACAGAATCATTTCAAGAAAAACAGAATGTTCAACACAATTGTAACAGCATCAAAACGAACTGCAGAATACATACTTACACATAGTTGTTTTCTGTAATTCTTTCATTTAAGAGTGAAAATAAAACCACACAAGAAGATCAACCAACAAACACTAACACTTGCAGGCTTAACAAACTATATCCAGTATTGCATACGAAGCCCACGTTTCACGCCAGTAACATCTCCATGACGGACCAACAACCTTAGACACCATCTGACGGAGTTAAAACCACAGAAGGACAGTACACCTGATCCAGTACACCCTGACCATTAAAAAGAAAGAGTTACAAGATCTGCAAACACAGATGTAGACCAGGAAGACACGAAACACAGAAAAAACATTCATCAATCACTTATATTTGATACTAACAATTTTTTCTTCACATTTCAGATATACAGACTGGGCATTGGTTGGGTAATATATCTAATGATTGACTGGTGAAAGTTAATTTTGCTCGGGGCACTACCTCCCCCCCCAAAAAAAAAATCAAGTTCTTGGTATTGGATTGTTCAGTCTCCTTCCCTTTAAGTTGGATCCTTCAATTGTTGTTTATTTGTTTAATGATTTATTCAATCATCTGTTTATTTTCTTTTATTTATCTATTTACTATTTTCACTTCATTTTTAAATAATTCAATTATTATTATTATTTCCCTTTATTTATTTTATCATTTAACCTCTAAAAATATTTAGAGCTAATAAGTAAAGAAGAAGATGCAGTAGCTCAAGCACTAGCACATGACACAGTCATATAGCATGTTTTCTTCTATGATGGCGTCCAGGTATATTCATTTTTTCCTATATTTTTATGGCAGTTGTCTTGATGAAACATGAATGAAGTTAGCCAGTCAAGTAAAAACAATTTCCCACATAGTTATTCTTAAATTCTTATAAACCATGAGTGGGGTGAAGAGATTTGCTCAATCTCTGAGCATCCTTGGTTTACCTAAACCAAAATACCTACCACGGAATGAATGAAGTCTGCCTCTTCCACTGAGTGAAGACTTAGTTGTTACCATGACATTGGCAACAATAATCAACTTT